TCGATGGAGGGGGTACTCTGGGTCTGGCAAGGAAAAGATGTCCCGAGACGCAGCCATAGCTCCAGATATCCCTGGTGTGAGAGGCATTGGTCCTCGCACTGGGATCACTCCTGGTACAGAACGGTCCCGCGTCTTGTGGGGTGCCGGAGATGGCAGAACCAATGGATTGGCACCTAAAACTGCTGGGTCCTATTGTTTATGGGTCTTTTTCCTGTGCCTGTGAAACTTAGAACATACTCAGTCCCCTTGGGCTGAGCTGGGGAAAGGAGTGTCGATTTTCTTTGATTTAGAGAAATACTTAGTTCCATGCTTACGGGAGGGCTTCCTTACCTCCTAACCTGAGTGTCTCTGGATTAAGTTTAGAAGTGTGTGCAACAAGAGTGATGTAGTGGTGGGAGTCTGCTATAGACCACCGGACCAGGGGGATGAGGTAGATGAGGCTTTCTTCCGGCAGCTCACGGAAGCTACTAGATCGCATGCCCTGATTCTCATGGGTGACTTTAATTTTCCTGATATCTGCTGGGAGAGCAATACAGCGGTGCATAGACAATCCAGGAAGTTTTTGGAAAGCGTAGGGGACAATTTCCTGGCGCAAGTGCTAGAGGAGCCAACTAGGGGGGGCGCTTTTCTTGACCTGCTGCTCACAAACCGGGTAGAATTAGTGGGGGAAGCAAAAGTGGATGGGAATCTGGGAGGCAGTGACCATGAGTTGGTTGAGTTCAGGATCCTGACACAGGGAAGAAAGGTAAGCAGCACGATACGGACCCTGGACTTCAGGAAAGCAGACTTCGACTCCCTCAGGGAACGGATGACCAGGATCCCCTGGGGGACTAACTTGAAGGGGAAAGGAGTCCAGGAGAGCTGGCTGTATTTCAAGGAATCCCTGTTGAGGTTACAGGGACAAACCATCCCGATGAGTCGAAAGAATAGTAAATATGGCAGGCGACCAGCTTGGCTTAATGGTGAAATCTTAGCGGATCTTAAACATAAAAAAGAAGCTTACAAGAAGTGGAAGGTTGGACATATGACCAGGGAAGAGTATAAAAATATTGCTCGGGCATGTAGGAATGTTATCAGGAGGGCCAAATCGCACCTGGAGCTGCAGCTAGCCAGAGATGTCAAGAGTAACAAGAAGGGTTTCTTCAGGTATGTTGGCAACAAGAAGAAAGCCAAGGAAAGTGTGGGCCCCTTACTGAATGAGGGAGGCAAACTAGTGACAGAGGATGTGGAAAAAGCTAATGTACTCAATGCTTTTTTTGCCTCTGTTTTCACTAACAAGGTCAGCTCCCAGACTGCTACGCTGGGCATCACAAAATGGGGAAGAGATGGCCAGCCCTCTGTGGAGATAGAGGTGGTTAGGGACTATTTAGAAAAGCTGGACGTGCACAAGTCCATGGGGCCGGACGAGTTGCATCCGAGAGTGCTGAAGGAATTGGCGGCTGTGATTGCAGAGCCATTGGCCAATATCTTTGAAAACTCGTGGCGAACCGGGGAAGTTCCGGATGACTGGAAAAAGGCTAATGTAGTGCCAATCTTTAAAAAAGGGAAGAAGGAGGATCCTGGGAACTACAGGCCAGTCAGCCTCACTTCAGTCCCTGGAAAAATCATGGAGCAGGTCCTCAAAGAATCAAACCTGAAGCACTTGCATGAGAGGAAAGTGATCAGGAACAGCCAGCATGGATTCACCAAGGGAAGGTCATGCCTGACTAATCTAATCGCCTTTTATGATGAGATTACTGGTTCTGTGGATGAAGGGAAAGCAGTGGATGTATTGTTTCTTGACTTTAGCAAAGCTTTTGACACGGTCTCCCACAGTATTCTTGTCAGCAAGTTAAGGAAGTATGGGCTGGATGAATGCACTACAAGGTGGGTAGAAAGCTGGCTAGATTGTCGGGCTCAACGGGTAGTGATCAATGGCTCCATATCTAGTTGGCAGCCGGTATCAAGTGGAGTACCCCAAGGGTCGGTCCTGGGGCCGGTTTTGTTCAATATCTTCATAAATGATCTGGAGGATGGTGTGGATTGCACTCTCAGCAAATTTGCGGATGATACTAAACTGGGAGGAGTGGTAGATATGCTGGAGGGGAGGGATAGGATACAGAAAGACCTAGACAAATTGGAGGATTGGGCCAAAAGAAATTTGATGAGGTTCAACAAGGACAAGTGCAGAGTCCTGCACTTAGGACGGAAGAATCCCATGCACCGCTACAGACTAGGGACCGAATGGCTAGGCAGCAGTTCTGCGGAAAAGGACCTAGGGGTGACAGTGGACGAGAAGCTGGATATGAGTCAGCAGTGTGCCCTTGTTGCCAAGAAGGCCAATGGCATTTTGGGATGTATAAGTAGGGGCATAGCGAGCAGATCGAGGGACGTGATCGTTCCCCTCTATTCGACATTGGTGAGGCCTCATCTGGAGTACTGTGTCCAGTTTTGGGCCCCACACTACAAGAAGGATGTGGATAAATTGGAGAGAGTCCAGCGAAGGGCAACAAAAATGATTAGGGGACTGGAACACATGAGTTATGAGGAGAGGCTGAGGGAGCTGGGATTGTTTAGCCTGCAGAAGAGAAGAATGAGGGGGGATTTGATAGCTGCTTTCAACTACCTGAAAGGGGGTTCCAAAGAGGATGGCTCTAGACTGTTCTCAATGGTAGCAGATGACAGAACGAGGAGTAATGGTCTCAAGTTGCAGTGGGGGAGGTTTAGATTGGATATTAGGAAAAACTTTTTCACTAAGAGGGTGGCGAAACACTGGAATGCGTTACCTAGGGAGGTGGTAGAATCTCCTTCCTTAGAGGTTTTTAAGGTCAGGCTTGACAAAGCCCTGGCTGGGATGATTTAACTGGGAATTGGTCCTGCTTTGAGCAGGGGGGTTGGACTAGATGACCTTCTGGGGTCCCTTCCAACCCTGATATTCTATGATTCTATGATTCTAACCAAGCCCCATCACAGGGGCAGTTCTGCTGGCACCAGAGTCAGATGTAGTAGCAGGAGGCATGCTCCTTGCTGAACCAGGCCAATGTATGGGGGGTGTTCCCTGGCCTGGGTCCAAGTGTGGTCTCATGGCGAGCTCCACAAGATGCTTCTAGAGGCAAAATGCCCAGACTTCTTGGGTACAGCTGGGGAAGGACTGGCAAATACTGCACCTGGTCATGATTTGATCTTCTCCCAGGCAGTAGAGGCAGTGTTGGTGGTTGTTTCTGACCAAAAAGGATTGCAGGCAGAAGGCACAAAGTTTAAAGCCTGGAGTTCTGGGCATAGTCCGGTACCCATATGTGGAGGTGAAAACCTCAAAGCCTATCTAAAAACAAGTGCTAAAAGTATTAACTATTAAAACTAAGAGAAAATAAGCCTGGTAAAACTACTAAAAAACTAATTAAAGCTATTTACAACTATCTTTTCAGAAGTGTGTCAGAGACGAGGACCCTGGAAGTTCTGATCCAGACCATGCATCACTGAAAAGGAACTGGAGACATGGTTGGTCTGGTCTGCCCTTCATCACCTCAAACTGGAAGCACAAGGTAGCCATGATGCATGTGTGGACCAACAGACACTACTTTCAGATTCTCCAACTCTGGACCCATGGTGCACAGGCATAATTCTTCAGTGGAATACAATAGGGACCATCACTCAAAGAAGAACTAATGCTGTATGGCACTGGTGTGCAACCTGCAACCCATTGAAGAGTTTCTGAATAAAAAAGATGTTGCCATCTTTAACTGCATCAAAGCTTCAAGGCTGAGTAACTTCATTTTTTGAGACTAAAAGCAAGATTTAAAGCTATCAAAGACAGGCACACACACTAAGTTCACAGTATTACCTTCCAAAATGGATACATTATATCTATACAAAGCCCTAAACAAATTTGCTCTTTTGAATGCTAATGTCCTGGAAAGTTGCTGATATTAGCATTCAAAAGAGTTATCAAGTGAATGATATTTGAAGAGATTTCTTACTGGAAACTATTAGTTTTAAAGGATGAAATCTCTTCCCATTCCCTGCTTCTCCCTCCTCTAGAAGCCATTTCCCTTTTCAGTTGCTTGCTGCTCCTCTCCTGTTTCCTGCTTCAAACAGCTGCAGATCAGTGAGAAGCAGAAGTGAAATCCACTCCTTGCTACACAGCTGAGACATACTATTGAATACAGCATCAGCTGGTGGCATAGCAGAGCAGAGCAAAACTGAGCCTTATTTTCATCCAATCACAGCAGCCTCTGTCTTCAGGCTGCAGCTGGCTTGGCCCTTTTAGCGAGGCAGCACATTTCAGCCAATCATGAGCCAGGAACAAGGAATGCAAGAGGAAGGGAAGAAGTAAGAATTGAGGGGGAAGATTTTTAAGAATTCAGGAAGAGGAGGAGGCAGGGCAGAGATAGGAAAACAGAGGAGGAGGAATGAAATAATAATACAAAAAGGGGAGAACAAAAAGTAAGGAAAGAAAAAATAGTGTGAATGAAGCAAAGTGGCAAATGGAAAGAAATAAAATAAAATAAAGAAATAGAACAAAGAGAAAGCAAGCTCTTCAGTTAGGAAAATATAGTTTATTTATTTGCGTTTAATATAAATGGATTTCTGTGAGAACACACACAGACACAAAACTCATGCAACTGTATGAAAAATATGTATTTATATTAACCGTGTCCTTCAAGCTCCTGGCATGTTACCAAAGTGGCCATTGGTACCACAGAGGCTGTGCCCCACTGCTGCAAGGATGATTTTGAAGCAGATCTCTTTTGAGCAAGAAAGGGGAAAAATTATTACCAAACTCATTTACCTTAATTTCTATCAAGTTAGAAGCACTCACAATGATTTTATTTGCTTCTATATTAGCGCTCAAGGAAAACAACTTCTCTGCTTTAGGCAGATTGAATAGAAACCAAAATATCTAAGATCCCTAAAGGGCACTTTCTTTCCTTGAGGCTAGATTTCATGAATATCAAGGCCAGTTTTTAACTTCATTCACACTATTTTTTAACTTAGTAAGCCTGAAGATAGTTCATACTTACAGCTACACCCCTTCCCCCGGAAGTTTGTCTCCCAAAATCGGCAAAGGCTGGTGTGAAGTCTGGTCCTCGAGGTAATATCCGAGGGTCCAGAGTTCGAATTGGCAATTTTGGCTGATTAATCTGCATGGTGGAACAACAACAACAACAAAAAGAGTCTGTTAAACTTTTGTGATGTGGTTATTACAAACATGTGTAATCTGTAGACAGTCCTCTGCCAATGTCCAATTAGTTATAAGCAGGGTTACAACATATATTTGTTATTTTAGCAAACGGTAAGTTTAATGTTTTCTATTAATTTCCAGAGTTACACAAAAAATTGTATTTCATTTTTGCCATGCCTTACACCAATGGCTGTTATATAAATACACAACAAGGACAATGAGAACTCTGGAAAATTTGTCAGGGTTTGACATGACTTATAGAGAATAAAAAAATGGCTAAGTAGGGCTACTATTTGAGAAATACATTTGATGGTCATGGTTAAGGATCACTAAACTGTCATCTGATATGAAACAAATACCCTTAGTTTTAACAAGGCAAATGGCTGACCAAGCAAAGCAACCTTGAAAGATGATGACCAGGTGAGGTCACAGAAAACTGAAAGGGCAGTAGTTTAGATAAAGCCTTTCCTGATGGCATAGCTGGGTTTTACAGCATTGCCAGTCCTGGAAGTTTAAAGTGGAAATGTTCACCCAATAGGAAATCACAAATACTCTGATTTGTGCTTGAATCTTAGGGGCCCAAATCTGTTCTGTCAAGTATGTGTAAATCTGCAGGAGTCAACAGATTTACATGGCCGTAACTGAGGTAAGACTCCCTATGACTAGCTCTTTTAAAATAATAATGAATAACTTTCCTTCAAGAGATACAAAAAGATAGTGAGAAGACTCATTATGTAATGACATTTGGCCAACTCCATGTCACCATTTTTATGTGCTAGCATCAACCAATCAATATAATCTCACAGTGAAGCACATTTTTAAAAAATCGAGTCCGCACTGATGGTCAGTTCATATTCATTAATTGATCACACCCAAACCCAGTGGTTTTCAAACTGTGGGTAGCAACCCAGTACTGGGTCGCAGAATGGAAGGCACTGGGTCGTGGCGGCTCTGGTCAGCACTGCCGACCGGGCTGTTAAAAGTCCCATCGGCAGTGCTGCATGGCTAAGGCAGGCTAGTCCCTAACTGTTCTTACACCACGCTGTGCCCCGGAAGCAGCCAGCAGCAGGCCATGGGACTCCGCATACTGCCCCCGGCTCAAGGACCGGCTTCGCACTCCCATTGGCTGGTTCCTGGGGGGAGGCGGTGCCTGTGTGTGAGACCCATGTGGAACCCCTTGCACGCCTCCACCTAGGAGCCACACCTGCTTATGGCTACTTCTGGGATGCAGCACGGTCACAGTGCCAGGAGAGGCAGGAAGCCTGCCTTAGCACCCCCACTTCGCCACTGACCGGGAGCCGGCCGAGGTAAGCCAACCCCAACCCCAACCCACGCCCCAATCCCCAGCTGCAGCCCTGAGCCCCCCAAAACCTGGAGCCCCTTCCTGCACCCCAAACCCCTCATCCCTGGCCCTACCCCAGAGCCTACATCCCCAGCCCAGAGCCCTGACCCCCTCCCGCACCCCAACCCCCTGCCCCAGCCCTGAGCTTGGCCCAAACCCAGAGCCCCTTTCCCCCCAACCCCTCATCCCTGACCCCACCCTAGAGCCTGCACCCCCAGCCCAGAGCTCTGACACCCTCCTGAACCCAACCCCCTACCCCAGCCCAGAGCCCCGTTCCGCACCCCAAACCCCTCATCGCCAGTTCTGTTGGGTTGCGGGCAACAACAATTTTTTTCAACTGGGTTGCCAGAAAAAAAGTTTGAAAATCACAGCCCAAGCTTGTGTTATTTTATAATATGTGGCTTTAACCAAATACCGTCCCATTCCCTTGCTGACAAAACATATGCCAAAAAGCTCACCAAATACTCTAGTTTGCATTAGAATCCATAGTTATTAATATGAATAGAATCCTGATGCTTACTGAATATGCAACAGAACCAGGAACCTGGATGAGCTGTTAGCATTGAGAAATTCAGATTCTTGGCATTTAAAAGTTAAACCCCCTCTTTCTCATCCCATTCCCTTTCAGTCAAATGATTCTTAGTGTCTTCACCTCTTTATTACAGAATTTGCACACACCTGTTTTATTGGGTCTCCTCTCACCTTGTCGAGGACCACATCACTAATGGGAGGCAGCCCTTCCGGTTTCTGTATACAGGCAGGCATGAACTGGAAATCCAGCAGGAACTCCCTATCGTACTGCTTCTTCCCTTCAGGATCCATGGGCTTCCACTGTTCTGTAATGATAGAAGATGGCTAAGGTTCATAGGCAACACAAAGAGCTTTGCTCCTGGAGAGTACACTTTAGATAAACCTGGAAGAAGGTATCTTTGGCTAAAATTGTTTTTTTAATTTTCACTTAGAAATAAACAAGTTAAATTGTCAGAGCATAAGCAATGGGGAACATACAGCACAGTCCAGGAGGAGTCACATAAAGTATTAATGTCACCAACTTTCACCCATGACTAGATGCTAGAGACAATAAAAATCCAGGATAGAGCTCTTAAGTAAATAGATTCAGGAACGGAGGAGCAAAATCAGAGAGTTTTTGAAAACAGGGCAACAAAATGCTTTGACTTCTGAGCACTCTATCCTGGGAGTGGAACAGAGTTCAAGTGCAGCTTGAAAATGTGAAAGTTTTTTTGCTTTACAATGTCAATGCTCAAGGTAAGACAAATGGCAGAACCATGAGGGACAAGCACAACTGCAGCTGCGCAGTCTACAGAAAATTAGCATCTGAGGATCTGGAGCCATGATTTTCTCTGCTGGCAGCAGTGTTTAAAATTAGGATAGAAAAAAACCCCTCATTATCTACCTCTCATAACTGTTGTTCTTCAAGCTGTGTTGTTCATGTCCATTCCAAGTAGGTATGTGCGCGCCGTGTGCACAGTTGCTGGAAGGTTTTCCCCTAGCGGTACCCGTCGGATCGGTTTAGGCACCCCCTGGAGTCATGCCTTCATGGCACTGCATATGGGGCCCTGCCAACCCACCACTTCTTCAATTCCTTCTTGCCGGTTCACTCCAACAGAGGGATAGGCTGGGGGGTCTGGAAATGGACATGAGCAACACATCTCAAAGAACAACAGTTATGAGAGGTTTCAGAGTAGCAGCCGTGTTAGTCTGTATTCACAAAAAGATAAGGAGGACTTGTGGCACCTTAGAGACTAACAAATCTATGTGAGCATAAGCTTTCGTGAGCTACAGCTCACTTCATCGGATGCATTCAGTGGAAAAAATGCACTGAATGTATCCGATGAAGTGAGCTGTAGCTCACGAAAGCTTATGCTCAAACAAATTTGTTAGTCTCTAAGGTGCCACAAGTACTCCTTTTCTTTTAACGGTTATGAGAGGTAGGTAACTGGTTTTTCTTCAAGTGCTTGTTCATGTCGATTCCAATTAGGTGACTACCAAGCAGTACCTTTGAAGTGGGGTTGGAATTCACTGACTCACCGACTGAAGCTCTGCTCTGCCAAATGCTGCATTGTCCCTGGAATGCTGCGTAATGGCATAGTGAGACATAAAGGTGTGGACTGATGACCATGTCGTGGCCCTGCAGATCTCCTGGATCGAGACCGGTGCCAGGACTGCCGTCGAGGAATGTGCCGTCAGTGAGTGGGCAAGTATCTTTGTCAAATCCTAATATGCCCAGATACAGGACGTGACCCACGATGAAATTCTTTGGGAAGACACCAGGAGGCCCTTCATCCTATCTGCTACTGCAACAAAAAGCTGGTTCGATTTTCAAAATGGCTTTGTCCATTCAATATAAAAGGCCACTGCCCACCGAACATCCAGGGAATGGACTTTTTGTTCCCGGCTATTAGTGTGTGGCTTAGGGTAAAATACTGGGAGAAAAATGTCCTGATTGGCATGAAACTGAGACGATCTTTGGAAGAAAGGCTGAATGAGGCCGAAGCAGTACCTTGTTCTTATATAAGAAAGTGTAAAAAGGTTTGGATGTTAGGGCCTTAAGCTTGGATACCCTCCTAGATGAGGTTATTGCCACCAGAAATCCCACCTTCCTTGACAGGTAGAGTAGTGAGCATGTTGCTAGGGGTTCGTAGTGGGACCCATTAGTTTAGAAAGCACCAGATTGAGTTCCCATGTAGGAATCAGTTGTTGTACTTGCAGGTATAACCTGTCAAGTCCTTTAAGAAAACGGCTGGCCATTGGGTTAGCGAAGACTGATTGGCTGGCAACCCCTGGGTGAAACACCGAAATGGCAGCCAGGTGAACCTTTATTGACGACACCGACAGTCCTTGCTACTTCAAGTGCAGCAGATAGTCCAAGATGAAGGGTACTGATGACTTCATCGTAGAAATATGATTCCATAAGGACCAAATTGAGAATCTTTTTCACTTGGCCAAGTAGGTGGCCCTTGTGGATGGTTTCCTACTGCCAAGGGCCCCAAATATGTCAGCTCTAGTGGATTTAACCATGAAGCCTCCATGCCGTGAGGTGGATAGATTTGAGATTGGGACGCCAGAGATGGCTGTGGTCCTGGGTGATCAGGTCCGGAACTAGGGGCAGGATGATCGGGGTGTCCACTGACAGTTCCAGGAGAGTGCTATACCAGTGCTGACAGGGTCAGGTTGACGCTATCAATATCACCAAGGCTCCTTGCTTTCTGCCCTTGAGCAGAACCTTGTGGGCAAGTAGAATAGGCGGAAATTCGTAGAACAGGTGGTCCTTCCAAGGAAGGAGGAATGCATCTGCAAACGAGCCCGGGCTGTAATTCAGAAAGGAGCAGAACTGCTAACAACTATCTTAACTATTCACAGATTAAACTAAGAGACCACTAGGGGATCACTCAAGCCATGAACAAGAGAAGAGAACGCTCCAACGACTGTCACTGGAGGTAAGAAGGAACTGAACAGGTGGTGGGTCGGCAGGACTGTACATGCAGCGCCATGAAGGAGCAACTCCAGGAGCACCTGAACCATGACGACAGGTACTGCTAATGGAAAAACCTTCCGGCGACTGTGCATGCAGCATGCACACACCTACTTGGAATTGACATGAGCAAGCACTTGAAGAAAACATCTACTAGCTCAACAGCCAGGTTGATTAATCAGGCTCATAAATGGGGAAACACACTTTTATCTGAAGAAAAACATCTGAGATTCTTTTTTGTGTGTTTTACTGAGACTGAACAGCATTGCTCTGTTTCCTACCTAATCCATCAGTCTATTCTATTAAACTTTTCTTCCTATGTCTTTCTGCTCTTTCCTCATTTAATTCCTTTGAACCTTGAGTTCAGATTCTCTACATTATGACATCATCTGCACCCCTATGACCACAAAGAGAAACTTGTTCCAAACAACAAGCTTTTCATTGAGAAAGAAAATATACCACATACAAAGGATTATAATACCTAGACCTTTTACAGTGTTTTTCACCCACAGATCTTAAAGAGTTTTTATCACTACGCCCATTTTACATATGGGAAAAACAGGGCCAGTGCCAGTTCAGCGGGCGAGAAATCCAAATCCAGCAGCCTGTCCACTGGACCACACTGCTTCCTCACTTGTATGTGGATAAATATTGAAAATTAGAAAAATAATAATTACATACACACAACTTTTTTTCTTGGAAGTTTGCTAAAAAGAAATTATAGTGTGAAAAGTAAGCAGCTAGTAAATGTCAGAGACAGCCTTCTTACATATAGAGCAAACCAAGGCCAAATGGAGAATTCTTCCTAAAATCTACTAGAAGGAAAATCTGTATAGCTTTGAAAAGATCTAACAACTGAGGATTATTGTGCAAACTAGTCAAGATCACCTGTCAGAATAAAAATGAAGTGCTCTTTGCTTTCAAAAGGGATTCACTTGATTCATTCCTTTTAGGAACAAGTTACAGCACGGCCAAAATTAGTCTATGAACCACCCAAAAAGTCTGAAATTTGTAGGACCATTGACTCTGCATGACATGTTTCTATTAAAAGACATCTTATAAATTGCAGGTTTACTTTAAAATCTGTTTACCTGATAAGTAGGTGGTCTACCATAAATAGATAGGTTTCAGAGTAGCAGCTGTGTTAGTCTGTATTCGCAAAAAGAAAAGGAGTACTTGTGGCACCTTAGAGACTAACAAATTTATTTGAGCATAAGCTTTCGTGAGCTACAGCTGGTGCCACAAGTACTCCTTTTCTTTTTTCATAAATAGATAGTAGACTACCAGAGGCTTTTTATTTTTTTTTTGGTAGCCATGCTATGAATTATCATGCTATCAACAGATGTGCTTCTTTCTGCAAGTTAATATAAGAAAAGCTACTCTGATCCTCAACAGAATGGAATGCTGCAGAAGCAGCAGCAGTGTAATTGGACTGCAATAGTTCCTCATCGCCTATATTTCACTCCCCAGCTTTGTGTCCGTGTTCCCTACCTATTTTACTTAACACTTTATATTTATTAAGCTCTTAAGGAAATTGTTTCATTTATTCAGAGGAAACCGCATCTGGAAAATAAAATACTTGAAAGTTAGTACTAACACCGAGTAAAGAACATCGCTTCAGAGTCTTTGCTAAACAGGGAGACTATACAGCAGTTCAGGCTATACAAAATAAATACAATCATTAATAAAAGAAAACAGGTATAGCATCTATAACACTACATACCAGGAAAGGTATTGTCTTCTTGGAACCCAGACTCTAACCATTTGACAACAGAATAACATTTCATATCTTGATTAGGGCTAGATAACTAGGATTGGTCAGATTATTAACATACATTATTTATTTTTTATTCAGCATAGACTTGTAAAGGATCACCTTCTCCAACTGGGACCAATTTAGAAATGGAAGGTTTTGAATGTCTAGATGTAAATCAGAGGCCAGTAGGTTAGATTAGATCATATGCAACCCTCTGGCATTAAAATCTATGAAATTGTATAACTGGGTAATTGTTTTAAAATAATACAACTGGGTTTGGTATTCAGTAGTTAAATCTGACAGTGTAATCTTTTAAACCCACTTTAAATTAATATCTGTTGTTTTATATTACAGCAGAGCTACTATTCTAATGAAAAGATCTCATGGTTCTGTTTTGTGTGTCAAATATTCTCGTGTCTCCTCTAATTAAAGTTTCTAAAACTAAAAGGACTTCTCTGATCAATTTCAAAAGCCAGGCGTGCGGCAGCTACCTCACACAGCCACTTGTACTTGTGCTGAAGTCATCTACACACAGACATATAAATTGATGCAGCCAGGAATTTCTTCTCCTCTCACCCGCTTCCTCTCCAGTCCTCTCTTCTCTTTCACCACCAGAAAGGAAAAATGACACTTTCAATACTGTCTCCTCCTAGAAGGGCTCTCTAGGCTTGTAGATTAGCAAAATCCCAACACAGCTAAATACTGTAAAACACAACATCTCCCCAGTGTGAGTACACTGCTTTCAGTCCATAAGCACCCTTCTTTTCTTAGGGCCTATGTAGCATTCCTTACTCATCCTGAAGGAAGGGGGAAAGAGAGAAAAGCAAAGCATGCATGCATTCAGGCAGGCTGGAAGGCCGGATTTACCTGGTTTATACTGGTATTCTAGCCCTTCACCAGAGCTCTCTGTGGAGCCTGAATTAGCATCAGCTCCTTCACTCTCTGAAACACACTCAGCTCCGTTACGTATAGGCTCTGCTTCCTGCTCTCCATTTTCTTCCACAACTTTTGCTTTTTTAAGTTCAGAGGTATCTCTTTCCAGGTGGAACACATGTCTCATTTTATCCTGTTCAGATTCAGGTACTTTGTCACCCGAAAGTTCCTCTTCTACTTTACGCTGAAGCAGAAGCAAGAGAGAGATTCTGATTAAAAACAACACCATTTCCAAGACACTCCGTATGTGAAGCGGCTACATACTCTTCACTACAGCACATTTGCACAACACTATAATGTATATGTATCTTAAACTGTGACATGTACGACTATAATGAAACAGAGTAAATAAGATCATTTACTCAAAACGCAGTATCTCATTTTCTGAAGTAACCCACTGTCAATTAACATTGTAACTGGAATGGCTTAATATTACCTATAAAGTCTACATGTACTGTTGAGTTAGAATGGAAGGAACAGTTAAGCCCTGTAATACGATGATCAGGAGTAACAGATAGGAATCCAAACCCATGCAATCTCTCACTCCCTCATCTGATGGGAAAACAGCAGCTCCACTAGTGCAGAACCCTGTTCATAGGGGTTGTTTCTCTAAATGAAAAACACCCGCTGCAAACTGGAGCAGTTTCCAATAAATAATGCTAATGTAACACACAAATGCAATTTCATCTGGCTGCTATTTCTCAGGAAACCCCATATTTTGTATGGTTTCAGAGTAGCAGCCGTGTTAGTCTGTATTTGCATATTTTGTATGTTATCCCTGACTATTAAATTTTAAAATGCTCCAAGGGGACAGCCTTATTCTGATGACAATCAGTGAAGTGCTAGGAACACAATTTTCCTGGGAGAAGTCCAGATTCAAACCACATTCATCCATTAAAAGAATGGTGTAATTAATTTATGATGCTCAAAAGAAGAATTTGATCACTTTGCTATCTAAAACATAGCATTCAAAAATGCTTTCTGCACTGTTCTAAGTTTCAGAGTAACAGCCGTGTTAGTCTGTATTCGCAAAAAGAAAAGGAGTACTTGTGGCACCTTAGAGACTAACCAATTTATTTGAGCATGAGCTTTCGTGAAGTGAGCTGTAGCTCACGAAAGCTCATGCTCAAATAATTTGGTTAGTCTCTAAGGTGCCACAAGTACTCCTTTTCTTTTTCTTCTAAGTAAAGAATTTGTAAATTTACTTCATTTTTCTTTAACTAAATTTGGCATAATGGCCTTGGAGACTGAGTCCTCAACTGAATGATGAAAAAACACACAGCAACTGCAAGCTTTCCTGGCATTGCCCCCTGCTAGTGTACTTCACACCCTGGCTTGGAAAAGGGCATGATGATGCACACTACATGGCTTACTCCCTTATATTTTGGGAAGCTAATATGAGGGGGCAAAGAGTCCAGAAGAGCTGGCTATATTTTAAAGAAGCCTTATTGAGGGCGCAGGAACAAACCATCCCGAAGTGCAGAAAGAATAGCAAATATGGCAGGCGACCAGCTTGGTTTAACAGTGAAATCTTCGGTGAGCTTAAACTCAAAAAGGAAGCTGACAAGAAGTGGAAATTTGGACAGACAACTAGGGAGGAGTATAAAAATATTGCTAGAGCATGCAGGGGTGTAATCAGGAAGGCCAAGGCACAATTGGAGGTGCAGCCAGCAAGGGATGTGAAGGGTAACAAGAAGGTGGTCCTGCACTTAGGAAGGTATGTTAGCAACAAGAAGATGGTCAGGGAAAGTGTGGGGGAGGCAACATAGTGACAGATGATGTGGAAAAAGCTGAAGTATTCAATGCTTTTTTTGCCTCGGTCTTCACAGACAAGGGAAGCTCCCAGACTGCTGCACTGGGCAACACAGTATGGGGAGGAAGTGAGCAGCCCTCAGTGGTGAAAGAACAGGTTAAGGACAGGGTTTAGAAGAGAACTGGATAAATTCATGGAGGTTAAGTCCATTAATGGCTATTAGCCAGGATGGGTAAGGAATGGTGTCCCTAGCCTCTGTTTGTCAGAGGGTGGAGATGGATAGCAGAAGAGAGATCACTAGATCATTACCTGTTAGGTTCACTCCCTCTGGGGCACCTGGCATTGACCACTGTCAGTAGACAGGATACTGGGCTGGATGGACCTTTGGTCTGACCCAGTATGGCCATTCTTATATTCTTAAGGACTATTTAGAAAAGCTGGACATGCACAAGTCCATGGGTCCAGAACTAATGCATCCAAGGGCGCTGAGGGAGTTGGCCGATGTGATTGCAGAGCCATTGGCCATTATCTTTGAAAATTCGTGGCGATCGGGGGAGGTCCTGGACGATTGGAAAAAGACAAATATAGTGCCCATATTTAAAAAAGGGAAGAAAGAGAACCCGGGGAACTACAGCCTTACTTCAGTCCCTGGCAAAATCATGGAGCATGTCCTCAAGGAATCCATTTTGAAGCACTTGGAGGAGAGGAAAGTGATCAGGAACAGTCAACATGGATTCACCAAGGGCAAGTCATTCCTGACCAACCTGATTACCTTCTACGATGAGATAACTGGCTCTGTGGATATGAGGTGGATGTGATATATCTTGACTTTAGCAAAGCTTTTGATACCATCTCCCACAGTATTCTTGCCAGCAAGTTAAAAAAGTATGGATTGGATGAATGGAATATAAGGTGAATAGAAAGCTGGCTAGATTGTCGGGCTCAACGGGTAAACAATGGGTCTGCTGGATGTCTAGTTGGCAGCTGGTATCAAGCGGAGTGCCCCAGGGTCAGTCCTGGGGCCAGTTTTGTTCAACATCTCTATCAGATATCTGGATGATGGGATTAACTGCACCCTCAGCAAGTCCACAGATGACACTAAGCTAGGGTGAGAGGTAGATACGCTGGAGGGTAGGAATAGGGTCCAGAGTGGCCTAGACAAATTAGAGGATTGCGCCAAAAGAAATCTGATGAGGTTCAACAAGGACAAGTGCAGAGTCCTGCACTTAGGACGGAAGAATCCCATGCACCGCTACAGACCAGGGACCGAATGGCTAGGCAGCAGTTCTGCAGAAAAGGACCTAGGGGTTACAGTGGACGAGAAGCTGGATGTGAGTCAACAGTGTGCCCTTGTTGCCAAGAAGGCCAATGGCATATTCGGTTGTATTAGTAGGAGCATTGCCAGCAGATCGAGGGAAGTGATTATTCCCCTCTATTCGGCACTGGTGAGGCCACACCTGGAGTATTGAGTACAGTTTTGGTCCCCCCCACTACAGAAGGCATGTGGACAAATTGGATAGAGTCCAGTGGAGGGAAACAAAAACTATTAGGGGGCTAGGGCACATGACTTAAGAGGAGAGGATGAGGCAACTGGGGCTATTTAGTCTGCAGAAGAGAAGAATGAGGGGGGATTTGATAGCAGCCTTCAATTACCTGAAGGGGGGGTTCCAAAGAGGATGGAGCTCGGCTGTTCTCAGTGGTGGCAGATGACAGAACAAGAAGCAATGGTCTCAAGTTCCAATGGGGAAAGTCTAGGTTGGATATTAGGAAACACTATTTCACTAGGAGGGTGGTGAAGCACTGGAATGGGTTACCTAGGGAGGTGGTGGAATCTCCATCCTTAGAGGTTTTTAAGGCCCGCTTGACAAAGCTTTGACTGGGATGATTTAGTTGGAGTTGGTCCTGCTCTAAGCAGGGGATTGGACTATATGACCTCCTGAGGTCTCTTCCAACCCTAGTATTGTAGATTCTATGACTTCAATTTCAACGGTCCATTTAATAATTAGCCTTTCTGTTGAATTTGCCAACTAGGGGGCAAACTGTGATGGTAGGATATATCATGTGAAAGCGTGATGTGGGCACCTGTCCACTAAGAACTGGATATTCACATAATTAGACTGTATGCCATTACTGCATAGTAAAAACAGGCACCTGCTGACACCAAGGATGAGGCTCCTAGTACATCCACCTGTCAATCCTCATTGACAGCATATACTAGGAGCAAAGACTCATGATTAATTCTGCAGATACAAGCAAATTGGTGCAACATACTTCTACAGTGGAAGGATGACAGAGCTGCAGTAAACTGATCTGAGTGATCAGAGAAAGCTGTGGAACATACAGCCTGCCCACATGCAGGGTGCTCTCAGAAGTGACAATGAATAATGCTTCCATTTACCCAGTTTGGCTAAGGGCAGGCAGTTTTTCTAGTTGTGCTGATAAAGGACAGTTTTAATCAATCTGATTATAGAGTCTATTGCTAATTCCCCCTTCTTCATGACTCTTCTAATACTAGATTTCCCCAGATAATTTAAAATACATTTTGACAGTAACCCCATAAGAATGTAAACATAATACCACAGGGCTCCCAGGTAGCTTTCTCAAAAAAGTCATGCCAGGGCTGTCATTCATCCTGGACACCAGGGTTGTATGTGCAGAACAGTTCAAATCAAGCCATTTACAAACATGCCTTATGAGCAAAAGCTTTAGTTTAACTTTCAAGTTACCTTTACATTCTTCATAGTGTACCAGATCATGAACAATTCCACCACTCAGAACATTTAAAATTATTTACCATAGCATTTGACAAATTATAACTATAGTGGGTCAGTGCATATGTAGAAGAACTGAAACAAATTTTCAAAATATATTTTTAAAACTATGAATGAGATATGTGGATTATTGTTGATAAATATAGTTATGAATGCAACACTTATGTGTGGGAAGAGGATAAATAAAATGGAACTATACTGACATTAGAACAGACCCCTGCCACATGTCTCTCATTCCCTGGAAAAGCAAGTGCTGGGAATGCTGCAGTAGCGCTCTTGCCACTCTGCAGAGTCCATCACCCAAGCTGGAAAGTTTGATTGATAAGAAGGGTAGTAACCAAGATATGGACCTTTGGGGTAGTTAAAAGCTCGGTTAGGACAACTGGGGAAGAAAATAAGATATCACTGGCTGAAAAAGTAGTGAAAACTGAGAAGGTTTTCTATCTTCAATATCTATGTATGAACTTCTCCCCACCCTTCTCCTCAACTTAGTACCACAACACGTAAAAATGTAGTTACTGCTAAAGGACTGACAGCACAGAGATGATAGCACATAGAGAAGCAGGTAATGAATTGCAGAAACTAGTTTAACTAGCAATGTGAGGAGAGAAAACCCACCAAGACAAACCGAATGAAATTAATGCACTCATATTAGTTTTTTGTTTGTCTCTGTACAAAAAGTAGAACTCTCTCAGACTTCCAACAGTTTCTGCACATTTAAACATGGCCTACATGGGAAGAGGACTCCAAAATAAGACTTTCTAGTGTCAATAGTTGCAATTCCCTTTAGTCTGCTACACATTACAGAAGTAACCCCATTAAGACTCCCAGTGTTCTGATCCTGAGAGACCCACTGCCAAAATTCTGTCCTTGAAGATGTACTGCAATAATCCCATTGAAGTCAACAGGAACTGTGCAAGTTCATCCAAGGGTTATCTTCTGTCCCTTAATACAGATGGTGGCCCACATCAGACTACCAGAAAGAAGGACCTCACACCAGTGCAAACTTGAGAGAACAGGTAGAGGGAATCTCTGATTTGCTGAAAATTTTCTCTATTCATGTAGCTATTGTTGATATGCAGGTTTGCATGACAACTTCAACTCTTTCACTTCTCGGCTTCTCCTCCAGCTTGATTCTGCCATGAAGACATAGTTCTTTGTTCATGACATCACAAATACAGCATTGTGAAGGGGAAAGGCATGCTATCCCACTCAACACCAACATCTGAGGCTATTTATTGAGCAGCTCTAATGGGCTCCAAAGCGAGACCTGTCCAATCCTTCACTTGAACTACAGTAGTTACGACGAGTGACCCTGAGCGTGGGGAGGATATAAATTAGACAAAATGAATGCATATTTAGGTATCCAAAAGATCTGCAGACTACAGATATCTGTTTAAAATATAATGGAGTGTATCTGACAGTTTGCCCCCACAATCAAGTCCATTTACACCTTCTTAGCTAAATGAGTGGTAGTGTGTGACCCAAGCTAGCCTTACAAGAGGGTTACACATTATCTTGAAAGTAAGATATAGGAAGATTACACTGCCCCTTACCTCTGTTTCCGCCTCTAACACCTCCTCAGTGGCTTGGGTCCGATCTTTTGGTTTCTTCCACATCTTTGGTGCAGCTACAGTTGTTTGGGCTGCAATACAAGTTTACGCCCATTACTTGCCAACACCAAATCATGGTTAGACTGGTCTGGTCCTGGGTACTACCTTCACTCTCACTTGAGCTTTGTTTTCAACCACATAGAAAAATAAAAATACCCAAACCATTCTCTGGAACTAAGATCCAAATGATAAGTTTTTACCAAAAAGCAGTGACAGCTAAACGGCCAGAGCAATGTTAGAACAAGACAGAATTTGTTTTACAAGCTATTTTTTCATACTCTAAGACGGGGTGGGCAAACTACAGCCCACGGGCCACATTCGGCCAGCCAGCCAATTTAATTCAGCCCTCGAGCTCCCACTGGGAGCAGGGTCTGGGGCTTGCCCCACTCCCATGTTCCATCTGGGGAGCGGGGTTGGGGGCTGCTCCGCGTGCGCCATGGCTTCTGGAAACAGTGGCATGTCCCCCTCCGGCTCCTACATTTAGGGGCAGCCAGAGGGCTCCAAGTACTGCCTTGTCCGCAGGTGTCACCTCCACAGCTCCCTTTGGCTGCAGTTCCTGGCCAATGGGAGCTGCGGGGTGGTGCCGCCTGGCTGTGCTTCCTCATAGGAGCCGGAGGGGGGACATGCTGCTGCTTCTAAAGTGTCGCCCGGAACCTGCATCTCTGATCCCCTCCCGTGCCCCAACCTCCTGCCCCAGCCCTGATCCCCCTCACACCCTCCGTCCCAGCCCAGAGCACCCTCCTGCACCCCAAACCCCTCATCCCCAGCCCCACCCCAGAGCCTGCACCCCCAGCCAGAGCCCTCACCCCCCCCCATTCCCCTGCCCTGGTCCCCCTCCCGCCCTCTGAACCCGTTGGCCCAGCCTGGAGCACCCTCTTACACCTCAAACCCCTCATCCCCAGCCCAAAACCGGAGCCCGCACCCCCAGCCAGAGCCCACACCCCCTCCTACACCCCAATCCCAATTTTGTGAGCATTCATGGCCCCGCCATACAATTTCCATACCCAGATATGGCCCTTGGGCCAAAAATTACTTTACAGAGCAAGGAGTTAACAACTGGCAATACAATAATAATGTAGGAAAATACACAGCAATACTTCATACCTTATAATTGATTGAAAGAGTACTACTATTGACCAGGATACTGGGTTATGCTCGATAGTTTTTTCCAAAAAGAAAAGGAGTACTTGTGGCACCTTAGAGACTAACCAATTTATTTGAGCATGAGCTTTCGTGAGCTACAGCTCACTTCATCGGCTGCATACCGTGGAAACTGCAGCAGACTTTATATACACACAGAGAATATGAAACAATACCTCCTCCCACCCCACTCCACTGAAAATTTTCATGCAGTTGATAGATTTCCACTCCATACGGCTAAATGCAGTGCCTTGCATAATGACAGGTTTCAAAGTAACAGCCGTGTTAGTCTGTATTCGCAAAAAGAAAAGGAGTACTTGTGGCACCTTAGAGACTAACCAATTTATTTGAGCATGAGCTTTCGTGAGCTACAGCTCACTTCATCGGATGCATACCGTGGAAACTGCAGCAGACTTTATATACACACAATTCTCTGTGTGTATATAAAGTCTGCTGCAGTTTCCACGGTATGCATCCGATGAAGTGAGCTGTAGCTCACGAAAGCTCATGCTCAAATAAATTGGTTAGTCTCTAAGGTGCCGCAAGTACTCCTTTTCTTTTTGCGAATACAGACTAACACGGCTGTTACTCTGAAACCAGTTTTTTCCAAGAGTGTCCTAAAATTTTTAATTTCTACTTCAACAGCAACCAGAAACAAAACAGAAGGAATAATGTTTTAATGTGTCATCCAAAAGGATGGCACTCTAGATGTGCAACACGTCACTGGCAACCTGCTTATCTTTAATTGTGTTTTTAATGAATTTCAAAAACCAATTAATAATTCTATTGTTTATCACCACCAGCTGGTTGAATATATAACATAAAATATTTACAGCCATCAATGATCTATCTGATCACTATTTTTTTTTCCTCAAAAGTGAAGGACCACAAGGAATATTAATACTCAAGACAGACAAACTATATTCATCCAAAATCTCTGTGATCTGTAGTATCAGCTCTACCAGGCTTGGGAAACACACACATGCTTAACTAGAAGCATGAAAAAAAACCCAATGAAATGAATGGGACTGCTCACATGCTTAAAATTAAGCATGTACAAAAGCGTTTGCAGGATCAGCGCCTCAATTACTAACTTTTCTCTATAACATCTGTAGAACAACATGGCATGTACGTACTTCAATATAAAACAATAAAATGGAATTAAGAGGCTTTACACACAGATGACTGAAGGGAGAGTGACTAAAGACAATGCACCGATACACATTAAGTATGGAACCGTAACTAGATCCTAAGTTGCTGAAATTTGTTCCTCAGGGCAAAAAGGAAATTGGGTTCATTAAGTTTCCAGTGCCCAAAAAGATGCCTTGGTGGTTCCGTGGCTTGTTAACAGAGGTTAGTTTGACTGGATTTTCGGAGATATAACTGGAATCAGCAGAAATCATTACAGCAAACATGCCAGTTGGAACATGGTGTGTGACAAAACAAACTGCTACGAATACTGAGACAGTCGCTGTCTCTATGGAAGATAACAAAGATGGCCTAACAATATATACTAGGCTAATTAAAGTGGAATTCATAATATGAACACAAAAGTAAGCTCTTGATAAACAAAATATCCCAATTTCGTCTGGTTCTTTTATATAATGCATGACAATACTGACAGCAATTTCATCTTAAATACCAGTCATAACTTGGTTGAAAAACATTACTGTGCACATCAGCTGTAACTAGCCCAAACTTCTGAACAACAACTTTATACAACTACTGAACTTAATACAGTACTTTTCATCTGTAGATCTAAAAACGCATTAAAAGGAGGGCAAATATCTACTTGACAGATGAAGAAACTGAAGTACAGAAAGAAAAATTTGTGACAATTTTTGTGGGAATTTCCTATAATATTTTTATGACTCCTATATGTGCCGTTTCCCTTTGCATCGCTACCTAGTGGGTGTGAAAGGGCCAAAGCTGCTCCTGGAGCAGCACAGGAGACATGAAGTCTGTGTATCACTGTCTGGGGTGGAATGAAGGATCATTAAAAAACTGACTGAAACTGATCCATGCCAACAAAGAATCCGGAAAGACAATGAGAACTGACACCTAACAGCAGGAAACCTCGACATGAACTCAGCTGGAAAACAAAGGAGAAAGGCATCAGGTGGCTGGAGTAAAGGCTGCCCTTTGGGGAGAAACAGGCTCTCACCTGGGACTAAGGACAAGGGAGAGACACAAAGACAGAAATGGAATGCCTCTCTATGCTAACCTAAGGACTTGCAGGTTCTGTAGCCAGGTCACTAATAAACTGTTACCTTGCTTTGAAAAGGCTGCCTGCTCTTGCTGCAAATATTCACTGAAAGAATTGCACCCTAAAGCAGAACAGTACAAGCCTCCCACAGGGTCTGTCTCAGCTGAATTCACTGCAGAGAGCTATGGAGAGAGACAGAGATTGCTGGGACCTGAAGGCCCAGTCTTAGAATCTCAAGAGGCCACAGGTCTGTCCCTGTGGAACTATGTGAGTCCTTGGAGTCCAGCATACTACCGGGGTCACTCCCAATGGACTAGCCACACGCTGGGACTTGCATCATATCCTGAAGCTCTATGATGAAAGTGACTTGTCTAAGGCCACCCAGCAGGTCTATGGAAGAGCTGGACAAATAACCAATCTTTTGACTCCCAGTCCAGTGCCATATCCACTGGACCATGCTTGTTAAGAAAATTTAAATTTAAATGTACTGAAGAACCTTGCTAATTATCAGTAATAGCTGGGAAGACTCATTATAAATCATTGAATATTGGAAAGACAAGATGGGTGGGTTGGTCTTTTTTTGGACCAACTTCTTCTGTTGGTGAGAGAGACACAGAGCTCTTCTTCAGGTCATAAACTCGTAGTGATAGGAGTGCTGTCTCTGCTATTAAAAGTTTGCTAACGTGGGAAGAAACTGTCAGATTTCTGTGCAGATTATAGAGTCTGTGGTTTAGCAAAGTGTGGATATAAGTGAGAATCCACTGTCAGTGACAGAATGCAAATAGTTTGAGCCCTACATTTCACCACCTATTGTGCTATATTTAGCAAAGAATGTCCTCTGGGGTTTAGAAGTCAATTAATTTTTTTTTTTTTAAAGAATTCCATGGAACTCAACAAAGTAAAGCTGCACAAGAGTGCTTCCACCTTGTGTCTCTGCAGAAGCAGCAATGAGCAGAAATCAAGACAAACATTTTCAGGCTTTCAAAGTGGTGCAGCTATACAAAAAGGTATTTAATAATATCCTCCTAAAACTGCTGGCCATTTGCAGATGAGAAATACTGCCATGAAGAGAAGCTGTCACTGAAAACTTTGTCTTTTCAGATGAAAAGGATACATTTTCTTAAAAGGAATCACTACGGCTTCTTGGGCTCCTTCCTCCCCCTGCCAGCTCAGGCCACCCCTTCGTGGCACTCAAAACATCCATACAGGCAACAATGAAGACCAATTAAAACCCAAGGAAATATAATCAACTTGATGTGTTTGAGGTACTTATTTTCTTTCCATCACCTTTTCTCCATTACTCGTGGAGCGTGCTAAACAGTCATTGCCAACATAATTTCATCTTCAAGAATATATTTTTTCACATCTTGGACTCAAGGAATACAAGTAATACAAAAAGGACTCAGTCCTGCAAAGTGCTGAGCATTGACCTCATTGTGAACTGTGGGTACTCAACACTTTTCGCAAGTGCTCAACACCTGCCAGAACTGAGACATAAGTCACTCCTAATCTATCACTGAACCTCTCTCTATGGGGTTTTTAAAATTTCGTACATCCATTTTCGTCCCATTCAACTGCAAGGACCATTATAATATATTAGCACATTTAGAAGGTATCTACAACTAACATCAGAAGGATGGCAGGAAATAGATTAACTGTAATATTATGTATTTTAGAAAACACATC